GTTTACCGGGGCTGCCGACAAAGGGCTTTGATGTCGACAGGGGGAACGTCCAGAGTAGCGCACTGAGCCAACAAACAGCTGATCAGCTGTTTGTCGGCTCAGCGCAGCAGCCATGTAAATGTAAATGAAGCCGCGATCATTTAAATCGCCGCTTCATTTGCCTTTGCTGAACAAACAAATCTACATGCCTCTGCCGACAGAGGCATGTAGTGTAGACGTACCCTTACAGACTAACTGCAGTGTAGGAGCATAAGCTTTCGTGGGCAAGGACCCACTTCGTCAGATGCATGTAGTGGAAATTTCCAGAGGCAGGTATAAATAGGCAGGCCAGAGTCAGGCTAGAGATGACGAGATGGATCCAATCAAGGAGGATGAGGCCCACTTCTAGTAGCTGATCTGGAGGTGTGAATTCCAAGAGAGGAGAAGCTGCTTTTGTAGTTAGCGAGCCATTCACAGTCTTTGTTTAATCCAGAGTTGATTGTGTCAAACTTGAAGATGAACTGTAGCTCAGCAGTTTCTCTTTGAAGTCTGGTCCTGAAGTTTTTTTTGCTACAGGATGGCTACCTTTAGATCTGCAATTGTGTGTCCAGGGAGATTGAAGTGTCCTCCAACAGGTTTTTGTATGTTGCCATTCCTAATATCTGATTTGTGTCCATTGATTCTTTTACGTAGGGACTGTCCAGTTTGGCCGATGCATATAGCAGAGGGGCATTGTTGGCACATGATGGCAGATATTACATTAGTAGATGTGCAGAAGAATGAACCAATGACAGTATGGCTGATCTGGTTAGGTCCTGTGACGGTGTTGCTGGTGTATATATGTGGGCAGAGTTGGCACCCAGGTGCCATATAACTATGTTCCTCTCATAACACAAGAACTAGGGGACACCAAATTAAATTCACAGACAGCAGGTTTAAAAACAAACCAAGGGAAATATTTCTTCATGCAGCACACAGTCAACCTGTGGAACTCACTGCCAGTGGATGTTGTGAAGACCAGAACTTTAACAGGGTTCAAAAAAAGAACTACATGAATTCATGGAAGTTAGGTCCATCAATACTTATTAGGCAGAATGGGTAAGAATGGTGTCTCTAGCCTCTGCTTGTCAGGGACTGGAGATGGATGACTGGAGAAGGATCACTTGATGATTACCAGTTCCGTTCACCCTCTCTGGGGCATCTGGCATTGGCCCCCGTCGGAGGACAGAATACTGGGTTAGATGGATTAGTGACCCAGGGAACAGTGCAAAAAAATCACCCACCCACAAATGCCAAGAATATCTGGATTGTGCCGGGATGGAAGGGGGCTGCTTTCCCAAGGCTCTTCAATATTTCCCAGGACTTTAGGATTTTTAAAATGATCAAAATCCTAATTAAAAAGTGGGCTCTTGGAAGCTCTGGGGCGCCCCAACCCTAGTTGCAGTTGACGAGTTGTTGTAATAACGGTTTCTGGTACCGATCTTGATAAAAAGGGCAACAGGAAATCCCCCCCACACAAAGTGCCAGGATTTTTGTGAAAAATGTTTGTTTTGAGGAGGGAAAAGGCCATTTCTCAAGGAAAAAACCAGCTTGGAAGGTCAAAAAAAACCCCCCAAAAACGTGTCTCGGCACGGTCTTAGTTCTCATCCTAGCTAGGCTCTGAATCCCCGCCCACCTCACCGCCTCGGACTCGGTCATGTGACTCTCAGAAGTCTGCCTCTGAAGGCGGGACTTCCTCCTGGAGCCGAGCCAACCAATCAAGCGAGTGCAGGGGGCTGGCATTGCTGCCTGTTTCCATGTCAGTGGTCGGTTTGCCAGTGACCCAGTAGGCAGCCAATGGGAGTTGAGTAGAGGCTAGAAAAAGCAAAGCATTTAGTCCCACCCCTTCCTGTAGGCTCCTCCCCTTTGGGACAGGTAAGACCAGTGGCAGAGAAACCACCTGTTAGGGGAGCTCCACGATAATCCTGAGTCTGCTCTGTGCCCTGTCTCCACCCTAAGGATGCTAAGGACTAGTCGATTCCCACGCCCCCACCTCGCCTGCCTTGCTGCTCTATCAGATAGAGGCAGCAAAGGGGGGGGTACTTCAAAGTGGCAGAGTTGCACAGCTGAGCCGGGGATCAGCTGTGCGGCACTGCCCCTTTGAAACGCCGAGGTGGTGTTTTAAAGGGGCAGCGCAGCATGGAGCCCAGGGTCCATGCTGCGCTACTGCTTTGAAATGCACAAGAGCCACCGCTGGGTACCCTTGTACATCTCAAAGCTAGCATGTGCAGCCCTGAGTCAGCGGGACTTAGTTCCGCATCCCTCCTTTGACATGTTCGAGAGCCCCCGCTGGAAGAATGCGGAAGGGCCTATCGACTAGTCGAGCAGCCAATGGAAATTCCATCGACTAGTCGAGGAGCGAGGTAAGCGCTAGTTAACATCCTTACTCCGCCCAGGCCTGCCGGCCGCCCCCCACTCACCAATGAGGAAGTCCGAGGTGCTGTGCTTCTCCAGGAAGGTGTGCAGGTGGTACCACAGCTTGGGCACCCAGTCCAGCACCCGCAGCAGCTCCACCCGGTTGGCATTGACGTCGCTGTCTGACTCGAGCAGCTTCCGGCGCAGGTAGCGGACCAAGAAGCCGTTGGCCGGCTCCACGTTGTTCGAAAATGTCAGCATCCTGGGCGGACAGGGAGCACTTACCTCCTGGCACAACGATACACGCCACTCCCCCCCCCCCTCCTCCCCCATC